TCTCATTTAGAGGCCTTCCAAAAATTGATTTAAAATGGGTTGCAAAAGCCTCTACTATTTCTCCTAGTTGGGAAAGAACAGCCTTCTAGCTTAGAAATGATATTCTTCCTTCTTCTAGTGTTTGCCACAGAGTGAAAAAATCTAGTGTTTCTGCCTCCCTCCTTAAAACATTTACATCTAGACTTTTGTCTCCAACTTATCTCTTCCAGCAATAAGAGATCCTCCAACTACTTCAAACCCCCCTAAAAAGTGGGGAAAGATTTTATGGAATTGTACTAGGGCTGCTAATGCGAAGACACAACAAACAAAACTAATGCAAAGACCAAAAAAGACCCCCAAATTATTAAGCACCCCCGACCTAACACCTGACCAAAGACGCACACAACTTGCAAAAAATGGTGCCTCAATCTTCTTTAACGAACTCATCCTCCAGGTCTGCATCCTCCTCATTCCATACCTCGCCTCCCTCCCTAGAGGTTTTTTTATTCAACTTTTCCTCCCTGCTTCTCCTTTTAAACTACTCACAACCCTAAAAAACAAACCAAGACTTTTACCAACCGTGACTTCTCTTTCCACTAATTCTTGAAGGGGTACACAACCTGAAACTCCGTTCTTTTCTTCATTACTTCGCAACATCATCTTTGCGTCAGATTCAAGACCATCAACACTCACCTTGTTGTCTTATTGTTGTTAGACAGTGCATGCTCTTAGCTCTAATCAAAATGATGTACATTATGACATTTATTGTAAATGAATAAAGTACATATTTGATTCATGTTATTATGGTGTGTTTCTGTGTAATACCCTTAAACTGGATACATAAAAGACTCGTGTTAGTTTAGAATCTTCACAGTCGTTGGATAGATCTAGGGAGATTAATCCTGCAAAGTCTGACATTGATGTACCGCCAAGTTGGTTGGGGTGGCTTGTCTCAGTTGCTAGGGTGATACCTAGTTCAATTGTTTCTTACATTGCTGTACCCATGAGAAGGATGTGTACAACTTATGAGATGTATCCATACTTGAAGAAAGTGTACTATCAATCCAACATGTCCAAATAGTATCAAATTCAATCTGAAATCTTTTCCTACTGTCGGGAGATAAGAAAAATCAGGAATATTATGTCGGTTTTATTGACATTTGGGAAGAGTATGAACTTGTCAATACAGATTCTTCATATCCCGTAGAATGAGGCAGAATGAGTATGAACTTGGCTCTATTGCAAAGTCTCAAGATAGCTAAACAGTTAGGATTTAGAATGATTGAGGCAGAAGGAGATTCACAGGTAGTTATCTCTTGGACAAAATCCAACAAGCATATTCCTTGGACCCTTCAGCATGTGTTAAGAGAAGTGGAAAAGATTACAAGAGAAATAATGGTTGAATTCAAGTTGGATAGGAGTTGAAATGGGTTAGTTCACTCCTTAGCCAAACAAGGGGTTAAGAAGCAACAAATGTTTTGGGCATCCTTGTAACTTGGGTTTGTAAACAAGGATTGACACTTTGGTCAATCAAGTTGCATTAATCACTCATATTTTCCAAGTTAATATAATAAAACTACCTTTGCTGATAAAAGAAAAAGTACTTGGCGAGAGAATTGCACATATCAATTGTATATGAATAATATAAGTACATTAGTGTTTTACGTTCAAATTGGTGTGTTTCTGTGAATTACTCTTTAAACTAGACACTTATGAGACTTGTGTTAGTTTAAAATGTTCTCAACCATTGGATAGACTTGGGGAATTTATCCTAACAAGGCTGGCATTGGTGTGCTACTGAATTGGTGGAACAGCTTGTCTTAGTTCCTAGGGTTAGACCCCAAGCACAGTCAGTGGGTGTTTGAAAAAAGCACTGAACCTAGACCAATTTCCAATTATGCCCTAGACCTTAGAGACGGATAGGCAAAACTGGAAAGTTGCACTTAACCTCAGACTTGATTATGATACTATACTAGATCTTAGACTGAGTTGCTTTTGATATGCCAACTAGTGGGATCCATCAAGGGTCAAATACTTGGGCTTGTTAGAGCAATTTAGGAAATTACCTAAGTGGGTGATCATAGTGATAGGATTAGCCCCTTTGTTAAACAAAGTGAATATTAAGGTTTACACTCTCTCTAATGGAAACCTAAAACTATTTCAACAGTATTTAAAATCAGATTTGAAAAATGTATTTATGCATATATTATGTTCATCTCTGAAAAAGGTTTGTAGTTAGGAAAGAGGCCATTCCCTATGAGCAGTGTTTTGATTATAAAGGGATGAGAGGTTAAGGGAAAGAAACCATTAGAGGGTTGATAACCTGATGAGTTTTATCTTATGGAAGTCCATTATCCTTGGGTTTTCATAGGGTAGTTGAATCCAAGGACCACTTATGTTTAAGTGTTGGGCCCAAACTGAGCCCATCTTATTTGGCTCAAGGATTCGGCCTGTCCCTTTCCAAGGATGGGCTAAGCCCATGTGGACTTGCGTGAGACATTTGTGGGTTCCATGCCACACAATATTTAGGCCTAAGTGGTCATGCAACGCCTAGATATGTGATCCATTAAAGAAAATGGGCCTTGGGCCCATTACTAATAAGATTAGTTTAAGAAGTCACATGACAACTCATGGATCGAATATGGATTTGGATATGCGTATGGAGCACCCATTCTCTTAAGAAGATAATGTACCAATCCAAATCTGATTTGGATCAACTCCTAATAGGATTAGGAAAACGCTCTATATAAGGGGATTAGAGGGAGTGGGCGAACCATCCCATTCTCTCCACTGTTTTGCTCTCTCTCTCTTCTCCCCTTGCAYCCCAAAACCCTAGTTCAAACCAGCAATTGTGGGGGCTGATTCTCATCAGTCCTCTTCTTGGTATTAGAGAAAAACATCAGAGAATACCAGGTACACATCTGCATCGATCTCAAGGAAGTTGGAACTCAGTTTTGCAGAAACAATGTTGCTGAGTCAGCTTCATACATACAATTGTGCCATCTTCAGTTGGAGGCCGATTTGGGTCTGATATTGGGCATGAATCACCATTCTAGGAGCTGCATACTATGAACACCGTATCGAGTATGATCAGTTTTAATTCGGGGGTGTTCTGTAGTGTGGATGAGAAATTGGTGGGCATGGACTAGTCCACACCACACCCTGTGGCAGGGGCCAATCCACACCACACCACAGTCCACGGCTGTTCTGAACTGTGGACAAACTATGTGGATTGGACCAGCCCACACCCACAATGGAGTTCTGTAGGGGTGGTGTGGACTGGTCCACACCACATTTTTTGATTCCATGTATCTCATATACATTTTATGAATGATCTACATAGTCAATCATAAATGTCTAAATTTTGCATTTTATATGATAAATATATTGAAAAAAGGCATCGATAAATTAATTTTAATCAATAAATATTAATTTTAATAAAAAATAATTTAAATATTTAAAAATATTATTTTGTTGATAAAAACTTTAAAATAAATAATATTAAAATAAATTAAAATAAGAGTAAAAAGGATCTCCATCGGGCTTGTGATAGAATTAACAATAAAATATTATTTTATTGATAAAATATTAAAAAAATATTATTTTAAAATTTAAAAATTAAAAAAAAAGAAAAGTATGTAGAAGAGATGTATTGTACCAAAATACAATGTGGAAATGTTATGGACCGGCCACATCCACGAGATACAAGTGTAGCTGAGATTTTGGGTTGTAGGGATGGTCCACGATATATTGTGGACCAATCCCATCCACGACCAACAAAACGGTGAGTTCACCCCGTGGCGTGGACTGAAATGGCCCATCCACGAGATGAACATACTACCGAACATCACCTTCAGCTTTCAAATCTGGTCCTAGTATAGTGCAAGATCGATCCAGAAATTCATATTTCAAAATACCGAGAAATATGTTCTCAGGTTGGGCTGAAATTTTTTTTAAATTTCAGCCAGCAACTGTAACAATTTTGGCCATGTTTAATCAAGCTTTCTGTCCCTCAAACAAAATAGAGGTTGAATTCAAGTGGGAAAGTAGTTAAAATTAGTTAGCTGACTCCTTAGCCAAACAACGGGTTAGGAGGCAGCAATTGTTTTGGGCATCCTTCTAATTTGGGTTTGTAGAAAGGGATTGACACTTTGGTTAATCAAGTTGTATTTATCTCTTATATTTTCCAAGTTAATATAATAAAACTTACCTTTGCGGATAAAAGAAAAAGTACTTGGGCAAGGGAATTGCATGTCATTCAAATGGTTCCCTAGGTCTAAAAACAGCCTAGCCAATGCAGTTTCTAGGCATGGAGCAACTCAGGAAAAGCTGTTTAGGAATTATACATGGAAAATGAATGTAATTGTGAAGTAGTATTCTGAAATAGGAATTGTGCAGTGCATGCTGGCCTGACAGTTGTAATTTATTGTGCATATTTTTCAAGATTTAATAAAATTTTTTTGTTACCAATCAAAAAAAAAAAAGCAGGGTATGATGAATCTTTATGCTCAGCTTGAGGGGGAGTGTTGACAGATTGATTGCCAAATTATTCTCCATTTTACTGGGCTTTATATTTTCTGTAATAGTTTTATGCTGTTGATATCAACTGATTAATAGGCTCATTTTGTAGTAGGCCTTCGGCCCTCATCTAAGTTTAATCTTCTTTATTGCTGCTGCATGACTAGGGGCATTTTTTGTAATTGTCCCAAATCAGTTATAGATAGACAATGACAAAAGATTTGGGAGGCACATATTCTCCTATGGTAGATGGTAGATGGTTCTTTCTTCTAATTCTCTTCCTCCTCTTCTCTTCAATTGGCTTTCTCCTATTCTTCCATTAATTTTCTGCTCTATTTATTCTCATTTTTATTTCTATAAAAGACAAGTGTTTCAATTTCTGAAGGCTGTTCATAAGAGAAAAAATCTTAAAGCTATACAGAAACATGTAAATTAAAGCAACAAAAGTTGAAAGGAAAGAAATAACTGAAAGTAGAATTTTAATGAAGGAAAAACCTCCAAACCTGTATGGGAATCAAGAGGACAAGCATTAGTGATCCCAGAAGTGAAGCAACACCAAGTTCATTATACAGAAGAACCATGGCAACAATGATACGAAATGGAGCAGACCACAAACTATGAAGCTGTTGGCATATTTGCTGTATAAAGAACAAAGAATTTTAATTATGGAATATAATCCCCACCGAAAGTTCAGTTGTAAAAATACTTGTAATCAGTAATAAGTATTACGTATTTTCTTCAACCAAATAAATTAAATATATAGTTCAAACTTCTCAAATGCAGTGCAAGAAATCTGGATAACTTGCCTGAAGTGCCTCAGCATCTGTGGTCATCAAGTTGGTTATTTTTCCTGATGCAAACTTCCTGCGACTCTCATGTGTAAGTCTCAAGGATTTACGAAACACAGCAGCAACCTGAAAAATAGAACAGGAGTAGCTCTTTCAAAACTTTATTGGAAATTAATGTCTAGTGAAAGATAATTTCAACAATCAAAATATAAAACTCAAGCCGTAAACTACCAAACAAAATGAATTGGTCAACCCCAGTTGGCCAAAATAAATTATGATCTTCTGCTATCTCACATATAGAAGAAACAGAAGAATGCATATCAAACTAGTAACCTTGAAGTACCAGCACTAGTTCTTTTTTCTCTTGTTTGTTATAGTTAATGATAAGGTTGGCAAAAGCAATAAACAAAATACACAAGTCCAGCTATGCAGTATTAGTTACTTATTAGTTCAAAAGCTATACATCAAAAAGAGGATTTAAATGATTTGGTCCTATCCAGGCATAAAATGACCAAATTACATTTCCTTAAGCCCACCAAAATAGACAGCTAGAAATAAAACGGTAAAATTTAAGTATTAATTAAATAAAATTTATAGAAGTTGGAAAAGTGGTATGCAGTTGCCAAACAGGTTTAACAGAAATTTATTCAATAAACAGTACAGTATCACCTAAGGTTCCATAGACCACATTCATGTGTACACTATATAGATGGCACACAAGCAAGAATGCTAAGAACCACCGCTACTGGGTCATTTATTCCAAAATTTGATAAAACTGGCTAAAAGAATCAACTAGTTATTTTTCTGTGATTTCCCCACATTCTTGTCCAACTGAGTGGGATTGAACTGATATATGATAGTTGCAATCATCTGAGAAAAAGAACATTGGCATTAATCTCCTAAGTAGGACGAAGAAATATATCATAACCCTCACCTAGATCATGTGCATGTAAATGCAACTCATGTGATTACTTCCAAGGGGAAGAAGTAATGTTGTAAGAAGAAACTGGTCATTTGATTGATTTCTATTCCTGTTCCTGTTGCACTGTTTTGCAGAACATTTATCATCAATCTAATATGTGTAGACAGTATCAAATTGAATCTGAGATCTTTGCTTACTGTTAGGGAGATAGGAAGAGATAGGAGGCTTCTAGTGCTTATCGCATTTAGAAGACAAAAGGAGTTTATGGGTGGCTTCTCACTTATGTTCTGAAGAAGTGCTTATTACTTCCCACTTTAGTCCATTTATAATTTACATAATACCAAAACTACCTCACCAAATGAAAAACCATCACTCATCTTCTTCTCCATTTCCCCTTTCTATTCTCACCTCTCACAACTTGCAATGATAGCAAGGTACCACCAAGTACAATTTTCCACTCATTTTTCTTGTTTGTTTTCCTTATAATATTGATTCAAGGTCGATTTCCACCATTTCATCTCACTCATTATTCATTTTTCTTGTTCTATTGTTTTTTTTTTTAATGAAACACATCTAGTACCAGATTTTGTGACAAACCAGGTAGGAATCCGCTGTTCCTTTTTCATTTTATTCAAACAATAAGTGGTTATATACAAAATCCCCTTCCCAATTAAACCGGTTTTGTTGTCAAATGTGTATCTTGGATTGTATGGACCTGTGAACATGTGATTTTGTACAGTATGAACATGTAATTTTGCTTGTATCTCGTGGCTGTTTGATGTCTCTATAGACCGATGATTGACATGTTTTTTACTGTTTGATAATGTAGCTATTCAAACTTGAATGCAATTGACATTGTGTTAATAGTGGCTGAATAATAACAAAGCAAAAAAAAATACTATTAGAATTTATGTTCCATGAAACTCTATAACTGAAACCATTGAGAACCGACTTTGATGGGAAAAAATATTGTTGTTAAAATAATTATGTTCCATGCAAGACCTTGCATAACAAAAATACTGTTAAAATAACTTTTTAACTGAAAATAACTAGTATGTTTTTCATGTATTATTTTATTCATGATTCCCTTGGTTCATTTTATTTATGACAACTATCATGGTTCATAAGTTGGTTATTCCATTTTAAGAGAGTTATGATAATGAGTTTCTCTCTAGTATATGTAATTATCATAAAAACTATATAAGATAATTATTCTAGTCTAATCATATATGATTATCATGGTTTCATGAATTGGTTATTCTATTTTAAGAGAGTTATGATAATTATTTTATTTTCTATGGTTATTCTATATATATATATATGATTACCTAGTTTCTATCTATATACGATTACCCTAGTTACTATCTATATAGTCATCATAATAACTACTTAATAGAATTATTCTAGTATCAGTTGGTAATTCTATATATGATTACCCTAGTTCTATCTAGTATATATAATTATCATAATAACTATTTAAGAGAATTATGATAATTTTGGTTGGCTATTCTACATGTATGACATATGATTACCCTAGTTTTTATCTAGGCCTAGGGTAATAATTTATGAAAAAAGGGCATAAAGTAGATTGAATAAATGGGGTTTGGGTCAATTAAACCACATGGAACCAATATGACAACATCCATAGAGTTGTCAATTTGTTGGCAGCCAAGAAAATGCAGTTTATGGGCATAAAATGGCGTTTATAGGTGTTTTTTCAGAATTATACATGGAGGGTAAGATTGTCTTTATTCTAGCAAAAGCCCATTTTTTATATGCTTTTTTAGAAGCGCTTCTAAAATGCCCGTTTAGAGGAGAAGCCCCACCAAACGCAGGCTTATGCAAGTTTTCTTGATTTGTGGGCTGAATATGAGCTGGTCCATATTGATCCCTCTGATTCCACGGAATGTGTGAAATATCTTCAAAAAGATTTTGAGAAGAGAAAGTTGTATCAGTTTCTGATGAGGCTTAAACCTGAATATGAAATAATCAGGTCTAATATTCTAAGTAAAGGAACTCTTCCAAACTTAGATTCTGTGTTGGGAGAATTGCCAAGGGTGAAGACTAGACACATTATTGCAGCTAGATTTGAAGGAAAAATGATGGAATCCGGGGCTGATACTGCTTCATAGCACATTGAAGTAAGAAATCATCTTCTAAAGACTTCTCTATGACTCAATGCTATGAATTCAAGTGTTTCGACCATATTGCATTTCATTGTACAAAAAGAATGTATGCACCTACTGCAAACAGCAAGGCCACAACCTCGTGCATGTCAGGTAACTGAGGAACAGACTATTAACATTACCACAACCAAGGGTGATTCTTTTACTAAAGGTGAATCTTCTGCATCTATGGATGAGGAAAAAATTCGGCAACTAGTGTCACCTACTATCACTTCTATTTTACTGCTATTGGTTAATCTGGTGATTTTTGTGGTTATTGATCTTCTCATGTTTGCATCATTGACAGCAAGACAACATCACTCTAGATTGTCCTGTTCGCCCACCCAAGGGTACCCAGAAGAAGACAACCTCGTGCATATCAGGTAACTAAGGAACATACTATTAACATTACCATTACCAAGGGCGAATCTTCCACTAAATGTGAATCTTCTACATCTATGGATGAGGAAAAAATTCAGCAACTAGTGTGACTATCACTTCTATTTTTACTACTATAGGCTTATCTGGTGAATTCTGTGGTTATTGTTCTCATGCTTGGACCATTGATTTTGGGCTACTAATCATATGACAGGAGCCTACCCTGAACATTCAAATAATTTTACCAAAACCCACCATAAACATATTGTTATTGCCAATGGTGAAAAATTGAACATCATTGGTAGTAATGATCTATCCCTCAACCTTTCATCCATTGCTTCCTTCCCCCTCACCAAGACCTTCTTTGTTCCCAATCTTACTATTAACCTTATTTCTATTGGCCAACTCATTGATGAAGGTCACATTCTCATTTTCTCTAATGATGGTTGTTTGATTCAAGCCCAATATATTGAGAAGGTGAAAGGGAAAGGGCATAGATTAAGCCATCTATTTGCATTGGAGTTTGAGAATTCTCAAATAGCAGCATCATCAGCTTATTTCAGTTCTTCTACATCTAGTTCTTTTTTGAGTCACAACAATAATGTTTAGAACTTATGGCAAAAACATTGGGGTCATCTACATGCTGAAAAATTAATGTTCTTGTTTGATTCTGATTTTAAAAATATAGTTCCTCCTTTGGAGACTTTTGATACACCATGTGCTCCTTATTGTCTGAGTAACATCCATACTTATCATTTCCTCACACATCTGAACAAGCTACCTCACCCTTTGAGCTGATACATAATGATGTTTGGACTACACCTAGTATTTCTCAGCTTGGATAAATACATTTGATTGTTCATTAACGGTTGTATCAGGTACACGTGGATACACTTTCTCTACCACAAGTCAAAGGTGTTTCCAACATTTCGGTTGTTCCTTGATATGGTACGAGTTTAATTTCAATCACATGTGTATATTCTCTGCTCAGACTCAACAAGTGGATACACTAATGGAGATTTTCTATCCTGTCTGAAGAACCATGAAATACAAGCACAATGAAGTTGTCCAAATGTTCGTCAACAAAATGGTGTAGTCGAGAGCAAGAATGAGCATATACTTGGTATTATAAGGACGTTACTACAAGAAAATTCCATGCTTCATCCTTTTGGGTAGAGGTATCCAATATAACTATGTTCTTGATTAACTATATTCCTTCCTCTGTTTTTGCTAATGTCTCCCTTTCAAAAATTATTTGGTCGTCCTCCAGATCTATCTAATATTCATGTTTTTGGATGTCTATGCTTTGTCCATCTCCCCCCCCCCACCCTGAATGTTTTAAATTATCCACTCAATCTATTATGTGTGCCTTTGTGGGGTACAATCCTAACTACAAAGGATTTCTTCGCTATGATCCTTCTATTCATCGAATCCATATTTCACCTAATGTTGTTTTTCTTGAAAAAATTTCATTCTTTGCTGGAATTGCTAGATTCCCTACACCGTCTATCTTTGTTTTGCAAAACTCTGATTCATAGGATGTTCCTCCTCCATTTGCTATGAAGGGCCTTCTTGTCTTCTCTTGCAAATGGGTATGTGCTCCAGACCTACGACCTCCCTTCCTCCTAATTCAAACCATCCTCTCACTACTGCACCTGTAAGTGATATCCCTCCTTTAGATGCCTCTTCTTCATATATTGTTTCTACTCCTATTCCCCTGTCGTTCCACTAGCATTTCTAGGCCTCCTGACCACTAGAGTTTTCCTCCAAACCAGAGCTTATTGTCTATTGTTTTATCTTCTATAAATATTCTTCATTCATACCAACCAGCCATTAGCAATCTGCATTAGAAAGAGGCCATGGATGAAGAATTTCATGCTTTACATGAGAATGACACTTGGGATTTGGTGCATACACCCTTAGGTACTTTGAATTGTTGGGTTTATACTATAAAGCTTAAGTCTGATGGCTCCCTATATCAGTACAAGGCTTGTATTATTGCACGGGGATTCACACAGGAGTATGGTATTGACTATGAAGATATGTTTGCCCCAGTTGTCAAAATCACTATAGTTCATGCCCTCCTGGCCTTGTTTATTGTACACTCGTGGATTTTTATAGCAGACCGAATGTCCTTTTCTCCCATTTTTACAGGTGGCAAACTTCCAAACATAAAATAAGATACTATTGCCAATTAACATTTTTGTGATCTGAACCTACAAGCCATTTGTAACAAGTGTTCTGGAAAAAAGCAGTATTTCTGAATTTACTAAAGTTCTTACTCTCCTGTTTGGCTCAGCAAACTATAATTGGCTTTTATTTGATAAATATAATTGTCTTATTCTCTGCTTTCTACTTAGCTCCACAATTCTTTATTCTTTCTCAGAATCAGTTTACTGATGTTCCATTTGTTCATCTCAATTAGTGTGATTCTTCTCGATGTTAATTTACCATAAAAGAAAGAATGTTCACCATGTGCATTGCCTTTAACTATTACATTGTAAATAAATGTCCTGGACTCAGTAGAGCACCTCGATCTTATCCGTCATTCTTGAAACAAAAAAAAATTCAGATCAAAAGATGTATTGATGCTAGAAGCAGCATAAAAAACTGAAGATAGGTGTCCAAGTTAGAAGACAGTACCAAGGTTGACCTTAGCCGGAAACCAACACGCATGACATTTTGGAAATACTGCGCTTCACTTAGCACTCCTAATGACTGGATGAAATTGAAACCTCAAATTAATAAAATAACTGATGAAGTATTTAGATCCTGAGTACAATACTTACATTACAATGTTAGGAAATATAAAATTGAAAAAAAGAAATGGAAACATGTGTCCCAATGAAGTATTTACCATTCAGTAGTGCAACAGAATAACAAATTAGTTGCAAAAGAAACACTTACTCTTTTATTAACAATTCAAGCATACAAGCAATAAAATTGAGAAAGTACAGCAGATGATGGCATTTATCAGCATTCTCTAGGTAACAACTGCTACATCTTGAACTTGGATTCCTAGTCACAAATATTGCTGCTATTGGGGAACATAGTTACCAAGAGTTAATTGGTAACAAGAGACCCACTACTCACCACTTTGGGTTAATAATCCATATACCATTTACAACCTTTTCGAGTGAAACAATTTTTTATCAGTAATCAGATAAAAAGTGATGCATTAATATTAAAGCTGAGAAAGTACCAGTGTTTAGGCACACAGGCAAGATGAATTTTAAGACATGCCTCACCTAAACCCAGGTGCAGCCCCTTTCAAAAGGTGCATGTCTGGTGTGTTTTCTGCCTCAACACACATTTTAAACATGCCTTTTTTTTGTTTTTTATTTCATTTTGAAAGGTTTTATTTGGAAACCTGATTTAAAAACTTCACTGAGACACATCATATCATATCAATTACTAAAATGACAAGAAGCATGCTTCTGAAAGATTATAGATAATACCCTATCACACAAAAACATAAGTGGACGGAGCAGAATAAATTAATGCTGTAGGAAAAATTAGAGTAAGCTTTGCAATGATTTAAGTTCTCCAACAGAAAAAATTGTGAAGTGCAAGTGTAAAGCCTACCACTCCAGCAAAAATTGAGAAGGCATAGATGTAACCAATCCAAGCTGGATCTCCCCGTTGCATAGACTGCAGTAACAGTAAGAACAATTACACTAGCCTACATATGTACTATGTACCTAACAGATAAACTTACATGAAATGCTTAAAGATTAAAATAATTATATGCATCAAGATTCCACAATTCAAATTAGGTATACAAGAAAACTTGGAACATTACATGCATATGATTTTGATGAGTATGCAAAGCTTAGAAGCACTAGTATCATCCAAATCATAAATGTTGTTAGGATGGTCTGGGCTTAAACTTAATGGTTTAATCCATGGTTTGAGGGCCTCAGATCACATGACTGGATCCTCAAATCACATGACTGTGTCCTCAGATCATAAGGTTAATGTTGTTAGTATTATTCTGTAGAGAACATTGATGTGGGCCCCACAGCTGTGGTCCCACTCTGTCTGTAGGGTAGAATGTATCTAGTCACAACTGTGGTCAATTTATTATTCTGTTATTCTAGTTGTTAWTTACTTTTCAGTTTTATATTGTTATGTGTTATGATGTAAACACCAAGGGCAGATGTGTCCTTTCAGTTTTATATTGTTCTTCTCCTCAAAACCTGTGTTCTACTGTTCTCTCATCACTCTTTCTCCTTCTTCTTCTTCACTTCCTCTTCTCTTCGAACCTGAAGTTTCTTAGTGATCAAGACTGATAGCAGTCTTGATCAACTACATGGTATCAGAGCCAAATTAGGGTTTCTCATGTGAGACTAATACCAATCGACCACATGAGAATCTCCTAGGACTGGGAGCTGAAAAGGAGGAGTTCGCAGACTGATTCTTGGAGATCGCCAGAAG